AGTAGAAGGATTTGTCTTTTCTTTTTCCATGTATATGGTCCCCCAAAGGCCATCCATCTTATGTCTTAAAATTTCCTGAGAAGGACATCAAAGTTAACATGACATCTCTTTGAAATTATATTTATTCTAAATATAAGGTATCATGTCTGATAAGCTGCTCCTGTTCTACTATATGGCAGATGGGAAATGATATAAATATTATAAATAAAACCATATATAAATGATATAAATAAAACCAAGAAACTGAGCATTGAATCTTTCTTTCAGAATAAACACTTTAAAGAAACAAAAAGATAGCGATGCATCTGAAATATTTAGAGACACTGAATCTTTCATGATCTCTTTTTTCCTTTCTTTTTATCTTAATAAAATAGACTATTTTTTTCTATTTTTATCTTCTTACATATACACTAAGTACACCATAGGCTACTTAAAAGCATATTTCTTTATCATTCTATCACCTATGAGTAAGAAAATCTATAGAAATTTTTTGGAGACAAAAGTAAAATTATAAAAAGTCCTTTACTTCAATCTCTTCCAACAAATAGGATTCTACCCAAATATTCCCTCCAATATTCATTCAAAATTGAAAGACCAAAAATTTTCAAATGTGAGTCTAGAGCACAGGAGAGAGAATGGAGACATTTGAGGGGTTTCCTAATGAAAGTTGGGGTTGAAATATTGAGACTTTGGGTAGAATTTTAAAATGTCTACACTTGGAGGTTGAGGAAAGAAGGGGGAGGAATGTCCAAAGAATTTTAAAGGAAAATAAGATAATAATGTGTCAAAGTAGTTACAGGAATAGAAAATCATAAGAAGGCAGGGTAAACCGGCAACACTGCTGTGTGGTATATAAAAGAAGAAATGCATAAGAGTCACTGATTTGATGAAATGACCTGTAGCTTTTTTTGTCCAGTACTGGGAATAAAATATACGCCTTCATACTGAGCTATATCCCCAGCCCTGTCTTATTTTTAATTTTTGAGACAAGGTCTCGATAATTTGCCTAGGCTGGGCTTGAACTTGCAACCCTCTTATCTATGACTTTTAAAGCTTTGCTTTGTTTTCTTTTCTTTTCTCTTTCCTGACATAGGTGAAGATATTAATAGACTGTAACTGAGATATCTTTCAAATTAATTTCTAATAAAAGATTTTACAAGCTGACACCACTTATCAAGCATATAAATGTTTGATGTTGTAAAACTGTGAGCTTCTAGAGAAAAGTATTATATTTCTTAAATGTGCTAAATTATCCAGCCCAGTATCAGGCAAGCAAGAAAGATATAATAAATATTGTTAAGTCAGCTGATCATATCAGCAAGAAAAACTGTGGTGTCTGGTTAGGACCAGGACAGGTGTGATGGAGATTAGCAAACTTCCGTGCTCCTTGTTTGAAGTTAGGAAGCTGGGAGGAGAATGAAGTCAGTGTAATTGCAGTGATGAAAGTGTGAGTTTACCTCACCAGAACTTGAACCAAGAAGAAAAAAAAATCTGGTTGAGTAGTAAGAGAGTGCTTTGGTGTTAAAAACAGAACTGAGCGAACCACGGCAAAAAAAAAAAAATGTCAGATGTTAGCTAGCAACTTCCAGCTTCCATGAGTTCCGATAGATGGGCAGACATTCCTGACTAATATGTACATAAAGTGATATATGCCATCACAAACATGAGGAAAGACTTGGAAAAGACCTTTTGGCACACCTTTTGACACATGATAAATAGGAAATAGTGGCCAGATGCTTAATAAAGGATAAATAAGAGAAGGAAAAAGTAAGTAAGGGTAGAAATCTGAAGAGATGAGCAAAGAAGCTTGGAGACACCAGGCTATATATGTTTTTAAATGACGTTTCATTTTTACTAAAAGCAGTTCTTAGAACTCATTTATTATTATGAATCACTTCTTTCATGATTAATACAGAGCGATACATTTCCCATCATGCTCTCAGGACTCCCACTATCATGAGTTTCCTTTCCAATTTACAATGTCATTTTATCTAAACCTACTGTAAAGACATGTTTCCAGAAATCAAAAGACAATAGAAAAAAAAAAAGAGAAAAAAAAAAAAAAAAAAAGACAATAGAGGACATTAAAATATACTTCTCCAAATATCTCAAGAAAGAACTATTCACCACATCTGTTGCCTAATCTTAAGTCTCAGGGTTGTATGGTTAGTGTAATCAAAACTACAATATGGACATAATTTTAATTCTTTTTGAACATGTTTCATCATAGCTACCCATTTCAGCTGTAGAACCCTAAGCTCTCTTCCAAGTTTGGTCATACTTTATAATCTGCACTGTAATAACAGCGCGAACACTATGCTGTATATGAGACTGGCTTGAAGTGGCTGGGGAAATTGGTCAGTGAGTAAAAACCTGAACTGGTAATAAACATGAAGATTAGAAAATGGCTTTCCAACATAAGGCCACGGCCCAAATTCCACTCATGCCAACTGAAGCAAAGCAGGCCCAGCTCCTAAAGAAGGTTTGTATCTGAATATTACTTTACCGCTCCTCACACAGCAATGTTAGGGCCTTATGCCAAAAGAAGGCTAAAGTTCTTCAATGAAATGATTGCAACGCTAACTGGAGGAGATAGCATTCCCCATCTTTATAGAGAAACCCAACTCAGCATGCCCAGCACAGCAGGGAAGAAGAGTGGCTGCAGGGTTCTCAATCAGCTGGAAGCCCCAGAGTCAAATAGGCCTCAACGGGGTGAGATGCACTGTGGGTGAAGCACCTCTGCTAGCCAGTCCCAATCTGGACACCACCTCCAGGAGGGAAGCCAAGGACAGCTCCCTTCTTACCACACTGCCACATTAAGAAGCATCAGTATTTGCAGAACTTCAGTTTCTATTTGCATTTCTGGTTTTGGCTCTTAGTCTACCAGTAACTTAGCACACCATGTTCAACATGCTCCAAACTCTGTCTTCCAGGAACATTGTGAGTAATAAGAAAACCACACACAAAAAACAATGCAGGTCAAGCTACGTATTACTACTAAGGTACACAGAAATGTTCAATGAATTCAATAAATAAAACATTCAATAAATTAGTTTCATATTCTAAATCACATAGAGAGAGGCCCAGGAAAACAGAAATTTATGTACTATTTAATACACATAGTATATTATATCATATATTGTCAAATATATTTTACTACCCTCATTCTCTGTAGCATCTCATTTAAGAGTCAGATAATAAAAAGTCCTGTGTTGACGGTAGCTTCATTTCTCTCACTGTCCCACCTGTGACAACCTAGCGCAAAGAACCAGAATCCAGCACCTAATGGGGTCATGCATGGCCTTATACGGTGATTCACTAAACGCAGGGGAAACTGTCCAGGAAGGGGTGTATGAGCAGGAGGAAAACAAAGATCGCCTTCTAAGATTTAAAGTACAACTAAAGAAGTTAAACCCCAAAAGTTTCTGAAGCACAAGACAATGGCTTTAGAGTTTTAAAAAAATAAATGAATTTAAATGGAAACCTATAAACGTTGTCGGTCTGCAATAATTCAGGTCTCAAAAGGGGCGAGAGAGGAGATAATATCCACTTTCATTTCCTTCGAATTTAGCTAGACTATAACTATTTTTAATGATTTGGTCTTTAAGGTACGTCATTTACTTAAAAAGGGTCATAATAGAAATGGAAAATGCAAGCTTTATATTCTGTGCTGGCAGACATCTGTTTCACACCCATTACCTTTTAATATTCCTACAAATCAATTCATTCCCAGATGATCAAAGGGCTAAAATGGCTCATGGGGTTTCACAAATTCCACATTGCCTGCGATCATGAAGCTGCTCCATTATGTTATTAGTTCCAAAGCTTTCCATGGTAGTTCCTGAATCTCCTCCCAGGCCCTTCTGTCCAACACACACACGCGGACACACACACCTTTTCTCAAACTGCTGAAGCAAAAGGCGGTGATAACCCTTAAGATCAGAGAAGCAGGGAGAGCCGCTCTTTGCTATTTCATCAGGGGCTGTGGGTCCTCCTCAAGGTCCTCCCACTCTGCCCTTTTTTCGTGCTTTATCACTGGATCTAAGGAACTGCAGTCAGCACAGACACGGATGAGTTCACAGTAGAGGGAAAACTCTACTTGTGTTCTTGTGTGTGTGCCCTGTCACCTTACAGAGAAAATGTGTATGTGTGTGCGTTTGTGTGTGTAGAGGAAATATTCTGTTGTGTGCATGAAAGAAAACTTGAATGCATTCCTCTGGATATCTTGTTGGTTTATTAGAAACCTCAATTCAGAAATCTAAGTACCTGGCAGGCCCCGGGTTTACATGGGTGAAAATAAAAGTTCAAGCGCTTGTGAAGACGAAAGTTATTTAAATCAGCATCCCAGCGAGAGATGGGGTTCAAGTTGTGTCTCTGAAACTTTGGACTGAAGTGTGCCCTGAAGCGTTCCTGGACTGCCACGCAGGACAAGGAGTGCCATCTGCTCCTGAGAAGTTCTGGGGCGGGAGGGACGGAAGAAGGCGCCCCTGCCTGGTCCCTGGTAAGGTAACGCGAGCTAAGGCGTCAGTGGGCAAGCCCTGGGGCAATCAGAGAGGCATAATTCGACCTGGTGCAGGCTCCTTCCTCCCTCCCTTCTCTTCTCCGACCAGCCGCCGACACACCTACCTAGCAAAGCCCCAGGTTTTGCAAAAAGCGAACCCACCTTCTCTGGCAGGTAGCTGGCACACACCGCGCCGTGCATATGCACACGGCTCGACCTTACCTAAGCTCATTTCTTTCCACGCATCTCCGTGCACCCTGCCCAGCCCGACCTGACTGCCCCCCCATGCGCCTCTGTTGTGCCTCCGGATCGAGTCAAATTTGAAAGCAGTCCGGCCTATCAGCAGAGACCAGGCAGCCTCTCTCCGTCTCTCTCTTTTGCTTCGACCTCCCTCAGCCTCTGCCTGCCACTAACGGGGCCAGGCTGGCGGCAGAAAGGATCGGGGACTCCCCGCCCGCCCCGCCGGAGGCCGGGACCACCCCGCGCCCCTGCCACTTACTTGGAGGCTCAGGTGTCCACGCCGGCTGCGCTCGGCTGCCTTGGTCGCGGGCGCGGTTCGCTTGGGTTCGCGGCTGCCGGTCCAGGTGCGGCTCCGGGCTGCTCCTGCCTGGGCGGCGGCTGCTCTCCCGCCTCGCGCCGTTGACTCACTGGTTTCTTTCTCCCCCTCTCTCCACTTTGGATTTGCCTGGGCTCTGCGGCTCCGTTGGCGCGATTTTTGGACGGGAAGGCGGGGAACTTGATCCTGCCTTGGACTCAAGTACGCCCTGCCAGGGAGGGAACGAGGGAAAAGGAAAGTGGGAGGGAGGAGAGGAGCGAGGGGCAGGGAGGAGCGGGCTGGGCCGGGCCAGGGAGGAGAGCGCTCTGCCCCCAGCCGCCCGGAGCTCCGGAGGCGCGAATTCTCCGGGGGCGGCCTCTCCCCGCGGCGCCGGAGGACCGGTTAGCGCCGGCAGGCGAGGAGATGGGAGATCGCTTTGTTTTTAGCAAAGACCCAACATGCCTTTTCTTTTCCAAAACTTCACGCATGGGCACATACCTCTGTTTACCGAGTAGCACATCTTAAATGGACAATCGATGACTGCAGTTTTGACCGCGCACATTTTTTAAAATGATACTCAGGTTAAAAAAAAACAAGTCTCCCTTCTTCCCCGCCCCCACAAACTCTCCCTATGCCAACCCCCTCTCCCCACCCCGTTTATTAACTTCAGCTGTCACACCCAGCCCACCTGCAGTCACAAAACCTGCGAAGTGCTTTTTTCTGGATTGTCAGGAAGAGTAACAGATGCCGGAAAGTTCCCAATTAAGTGCTACTTTCCTTGAGGGTTTCGTTTTTTTTGTTTTTTTGTTTTTCCTTTTTTGGCTTCTGTGGTGCCTTTACTGACCTATTTAGAGAGGTGCTTTGGAGCTACAAGAATTTAAGGGATTAATCCATGTAGCTCAAACCCAAGGTCTGTAAAACTAGGAGGCTTGACTGGGGCTTTCTGGAATATGCATCGGATTCAACTGAGGAAAGACGCTGAAGTCAAGGGGTTGTTTGAGTATCTCCTGATGAATATTTAAGATACAGATTATGTACTTATTACGCAAAGCATGCACTATAAAGCCAATTTGCTCACTTTCAAATAGGAATCTTGGGTTTTTCTCCCATTCCCTACTTCTTGCCTGCTTCACGACTTCCCTTTGACTTGGTCCTTTCACTTGCTTTCAGTTTATCAGTTGATGGCGTCTACTTCAAATCTGCTGTAAAATATATTTCCATTTCCCATAGTTCTGAGGTGACAATGTTACCAATTTCTGACCCCAATTTTCCTCCTCGGAATTGTGCAACCAGCAAAAGACTGAACACTGTTTGAACAGCAAAGGAGGCTTTTATTTTTGCCCAAGAATGGAATTGAGAGGTAAAACTCACAAATCAATTTCTCAAGCCACGGGGGGAGGGGGTGTGTGTGTGTGAGGGTTTATAGATACAGTATACAAGAAATGAATGAGAGGGAGTGATAGCCTAGTAAAGTAGAGATTACAGTGCCTTCTCTGGAAATTTGGGTGCCACCTCTTTCTGCTCCATGAAAGTGATTCTTTCGAGTCCTTGTCTTGCCCGTTGTCGACTGTCACGGTGCGGGGACAGTGTATGCAGATGGGATCACAGTGAAGTAGAGGATCCCTGATGGTGCCTCTGGCGGCCATCTTAGATCCAACCATTTCTGGTTTATAGGCTTCAGGCTTATAAGCATCCTGTCCCTACAGATGAATAAGATGGCTGGGGATGGGCCAGAGATTCGGCTTGACCTACCAGGCGGTACAAGATTGGGGCAGGATAAAAGCATCTCTTTGATTCCACTTGACAAGCATTTGTTAAGCACTTACTCTTTCAATTTATATTTCTCATGACCATTCCTAAATCCCCAAACTAGGAGTATTGTTTTGTGGCAAGTAGTTTTTAGGAACTCCTTGTCCTTACATTGACTCCTACCTTGACAAATGTCCCACGGAAGAGTCAACCAGGGGACAAAAAGGGGGCTCTGCAAATGCAACTTCAAAGCCACCAGCCAGTCAGTCAGTCAATCAATTTTCAGAAGGACGAGAATCCGAAATGCACTTGCATGGCTCCAGTCCCGCTCCCTAACCTAATTCCCCTTACACAATCTACCTTCAAGTAAGACAAGGAGCTGAGAATCTTCCTTCTAAACACCAATTTCAGGACACTTGTTTTCCTCTGGGGAAGATCAAGAAGTTATTCATTATTCTATTTCCTCATAAGTAAGTACTCTGTTTTAGCCCAATATCACATTTATAAATTGTGCAGCATTACACGTTGTCATTTCTATTATTATTTTCCCAGACCCTTTACTGAATAACACACCTAACCATTTTCTATCATTTCATGGTGGTGAAATTTCAAGGCCATTAAATAAAGGTTTATCTATTTTTTTCCCCTAAATTTTATATCTACCAAAATAGCCTGTTGTTACCGGTGAGATGAGCAATGCTAGCTTGATTATACTGTGTGGGTTCATAAAAAAATCATATTTTTATGATTTCCATTCGATTTCCTATGTTGTATCAAAAATGCAACTGTTTATTTTATCCAAATAAAGGTATGTGAAAATCACTTACATAAGTGGACCTCAAGTGAGGGTGGTTTTCCCTCCAGGAGTTATCATAGTGCGGTCTGGAAAGAGTTTTGGTTGCCACAATTTGGAGGTAGCGACTACTGCCCCGGCATCTGGTGTATCTGCAGAGCAGAGGCCAGCAATGCTGCTAAACATCCTAAACAGGCCAAGCTCCACCACAAAAAGCAACTTGGCTCAAAATATTATTAGGCTCAAGACTAGACTCCCTATCTCTATTTATTACTGTATTTTAAAAATACAAAAAGACAAAAGAAAGTTTGATGTTAACAAATAGAAATGCATGAGAATGAGATTAGTCATAAATTTAAATTAACCAGCATTTTCACCAAGGTTGCAGTAGAACACAAGAGGTGTAATCAAAATATACAGTGAATGTTTAAATAATTACCATATAAGACACATTGCAATTAATTTCCCTCAGAATACTCCCCTTCTTGGAAAACGCTTATCCCATAGTTCTTGTCATTTTTTTGAATCTTTTGTTTATGGTACCGGAAATCAGACTCAGGACCTTGCACTTGCCAGGCAGGCGCTTGTGCCACTGAGCTATATCCCCGGCCCAACTTTTTGAAGCAGCCCTTGAAGTCCTCCTTCATCAGTGTATTTTCATGGCTGAATCACTTGAAGTCCTTATGGTAGTTTTTGTCAAATAAAAATATTACAGGGCCAGGGATACAGGTCAGCAGCACAGTGCCTGCCTGGCAAGCTCAAGGTCCTGAGTTTGATTCCCCATACCACACACACAAAAAAAAGTAAAAATATTACAAAAGTGTCTACATCTACCTTATTCACCAGATTGGCACCAGGCAACTTATCAATCTTCCCCAAAGTCAAAATGATTGTGACACGTAAATATTTGAACCGACTCTGGACAATCAGGTAGGAGCCCAGATAACACAACTACGGAGGCCCACAAGTGGCAAGAATGATGGGTTGACTGTATTTGAAGTGGGTGGGGGGAGTACTTTGAGGGGGATTGATGGTAATATGTCTTTTATGGTAATAAAGATTTTTTTAAATTTAAATATCCTCTGTACTTGTTCTAGCACATCTTATGGCTCACCTATGGCATGTCTGCCACGGCTGGCTATTTGTCATCATGGAAAGCTTGAAAATGTTCACCATTCTACCTTTGAATATATCCAGAAATGCTCAACATCAAGACCAAACTGTACCCTAGGGTATAATAATACTTCATACCATTTCATTCATTTAGACAGCATTTTCTGAGTATATAAGTTTCTGAGGTAATAGAAACATACAGAAAAAAATCCTGACCCACCTTTCATTTTTTTCTTATTAATTAATTAAATTTAGAAAAAATATGTGATAAATGTCACACATCAGACACGTGGTAGAGGAAGGTAAGAATGGAGATTTGGGGGTGGAAAAATTACCCTGGGGTAAAATTTGAGGGAAGTGTATTATTTGCAACAGACTTCAGGCCAAGAGATCAGTCAATGGGAAGGCTCTGAGGTCTGACCATGGGTAGTCACTGTGGTGGGAATTTAGTGGTAGGTATCAAGGACAGTAAGGAGCCATATACTGTTCAACCTGCACCCACGGGGCTGGGGATTTAGCTCAGCGGCACAGTGCCTGCCTGGCAAGTGCAAGGTCATGAGTTCAATTCCCTGCACCGGAAAAAAAAAAAAAAAAAAAAAAAAAAGAAATCAACCTGCACCCAAGTGAGAAATTCCATTTTCCTCTGAGTGACCTGGGAAAACATGACAGTGACAAAAGCTGACTGTTTAACAAGGTTTCTCTGCTATGTTAAACAGAAGCAAGAGGGCAAGAGAGAGAGATCTCAGTACAGGGAGGTCCCAGCAGGAAGCTACAGCAATAGTCCACCGACCAAATGCCCACCCACAGCTTCTTGGAAAGAATAACCACCTCCACACTTGCCCTGTAATACTTGCTCTCCCGGGAAGCCTCACCAGCAGTTACTTTAGTGGTCTCCTGACTCCTCTTCCCCAGCCTCTCCACAGGGAATTAAGGAGCACCCCTGCGTGAGTGTTCCAGGCTAAAGTGTAACTAATGCAAGGTGATTTGAATTCATAGAAATTACAACATGTCCTAAGGGTGTCTTGAAAACAAGAGCACAGATTCTGCAGTGACAAAATTCAAGAGAAGGGTAATCAGTGTGGAAGTTTCAAACTGTGGAGGATCTGATGGAAAATTTGTCAGATGCCTCCTGGATTGCCTACTTAGCAGGATGTTTAGACGCTTGATTACTACTCCCAGTTCCTCAGGATCTCCAGAATTCAAAAAGAAGTGCAGGTCTCCGAGGCATCACAGTTTGATAGAAACTCCATTCTTACATTTCTCTTCCTCTCCCTGAAATATTTAAAAGGCAACAAAAAGAAAAACTCTTTTGCTTTTTTTTTTTTTTTTTTTCTTTTTTATCTTTTTGAGACAGGTCTTGCTGTGCATTTCAGCCTGCCTTGAACTCACTTTGTAGCTTAGGCTGGTCTCAAACTCTCAGTGATCCTCCTGCCTCAGCCTCCTGAGTGCTGGGATTACAGGCCTGCACCACCTTGCCTGGCTGTATTTTGGGGTTTTTTTCAGGGGGGGGTCTCTATGTTTTATTACTGTGACAAGATTATAAAATTAATCTCTAAATTAGGTATATTTTTCATGATGATTCTGCTATTTGTGATTTGAAAAAGACAGAAAATGCTAATAAAATGGCTTAATGATTCAGGAATTTATCTTACAAGCAACATGGGTTGGTAAAATCAGTCCTTCAAAGTTTTCAAGGACTTAGGTCTTTCTGTCTTTTGCCTCTGTGCTTTGA